TACTTCCTTTTCAAGCAGAGGGGAGGCTAATGTCACTTCCTCAGCCGCGACTTTTGTTAGCTTTCCACAATCAGCCACTTTTGTTGACTTTCTTGAATTGGCTCTTCTTGAACGGCCTGAGATTCTCGTTCCTCAGCCTCAACTGCTCTGCCTACTTCCTTTTCAAGCAGAGGGGAGGCTAATGTCACTTCCTCAGCCGCCACTTTTGTTAGCTTCTCACAATCGGCCAGCACAGGACGTAATTTTTCCTCTGTAACTCCACATTCAAGAGTTACACTTAGTCCCAATGCTGACCGACCATGAAAATCTCTCGACCTCCCGATATAATTCTTGCTGCTTCTTCTGGTTTAACGTGACAGATCTAGCAGCGCTTCTTATGCTGAATCCAGCAACGCTTCTGTTGCCGGATCTAGTAGCGCTTCTTCTGCTGAATGCAGCAACACTTCCTCTGTCGGATCCAGCAACATTTCTTCTGCTGAATGCAGCAACACTTCCTCTGCCGGATCCAGTAACGCCTTCTTACGAACTACATCTTCCGCTACTAGTAACTTGCAACTACAGTGTGACGCGTTGCTAAACTTTTTTTCTCTCATTCTCTCTGCTATCAATGATTACTCAGTTGTTCTCAATTTCGCAATACAGTTAGAATATCGGAAGAAGTGACTATGATGAAATTTGCATTTATTGATTACATTTTGGATGGGTATTACTCTGTTATTATTGATCTTGAATTTTCCTTACGTCTGGAAATTGCAAGTGCTAAGAGTTGGAATGTATCTTTATAAGCTTTTCAAAGTTAGGAATTAATATTTTGTCTGTGCAAACTTTCATAAAGACGGCGATAAATTTTGTCGGACCAAATTCATTGAATTTTTGATATTTCTAAAAGAAAACAAACTTTGTGATCATTTAAATAAGGATGTGTGAAGAAGAATCGTTCAGAAGTCATGAGACCAAGAATTAGTTCATGTTTTTCAAATATTTATCCTTTTTTGTAGCATATTTCTTTCAGGGCTATCAAAAATGAAGTGCAGAAGTAAATAAAGAATGTGTCAAATTGAGAATTTAATTAAATTAAGAATTATCAAAAAATGTAAGAATTGTCAGAAGATGCAAGAATTTCAAAAATGTAAGAATTTAAGAATTGTCAAAAATTGTCAAATTAAGAATTTAAGAATGCGTCAGTTTAATTTTCTTTTCTTACTAAATTAATTGATATCATTTGAGTTTTTTTTATTTTTTATTTATTTAAGCAAACAGAATGAGATGTCTGGTTTTTATTTTGTTTTCATGTTGCTTTCATTTTGCTTATGAAGTGCACAACAATCAGAAATGCTTCACGTAAAATAAAAAACGTGTTTTAAACACAAATGATTTAATAAAATTACGTTCATGCGGTTGCACAATGATAAAAAAGCTAACCAAAGCATGAAGTATTTCATGGCGAAAAAAATCTTCAACTGCCTGAAATGAAGTCCATCGACGATTCATTGCGCACAGAGATAATTGACCAGCTGTCGGACTAAATTCATTGAAATAATTAAAATTGCGCAAAAAACTTCAAAATAGCAATGCAAAAGTACTGCTCTTTCGGTATAGCAGTGTTTTTCACATTATGAATTAGAAAATTAAGCAAAAAACTTGATTAATTACGGCCAAACTCACAATTCAATCATAATATATAATCTACTGTTGAAGTCACTAGTATCATGAATTAATTTCTAAAATACTACATTTTGATAGTTGGAAACAAAACTGATTGAAATTATTTTTATTTCATGGTGAATAATTGTTTCCAGCATATTATCAATAGCTTACATATATAAACAAAATGCATACAGTACAACATTACAATATCAAAACATCAACATTCTAGATATAATACATGTAACTGATTAACAAGGCAAGCCTTGTACAATATTTGGAATGAATGTAATGCTTTTGCTTGACAACTGGAGAATATGATCTATATGAGATTACATCATACCTTCAGATTAGTTATTTAACGTATGTGTCTATACTCTAACATCATAATGTGCATACACATCATTTTGAATATGTATGTGTAATAGAGCCCGTGAAATGATTATCCTTGATTTACAAACAACCTGAATTGTTTGCGCGAAAAAATTCGGAACAGTCATTCATTCTTTTGTTCGATTGCAAGGATAGCACTTAACACTCAACAGAATGCTCACTTAAAGGACCTGAAAATGAAAAAAATGATGAAAATCTGTAGCAATCCTTCGATTACCAAAGATATATTTTATCTCATCACTGTATTAGAAACTACCAAACAGCACGATTAAAAAATACAGTTGGTCACTTACATGAAGTTAAAAATAATTCTGCTTGAATTTTCCACTCCACAAGTTCTAATTTCCGTTTTCTAGCGGCTCGCTCAAACAAGACTGCTTTACTAGCAAAAGCATTACATTTATTCCAAATATTGTACAAGGCTTGCCTTGTTAATCAGTTACATGTATT